CAACAGAAATCAAAAATTACCTCTCGGTCGCCAAGTTGGTTTAAGGCGCAAGACTGTAATGGAATCAAGACATCTTGAGATCGTGTGTTCGACTCACACCCGGGAGACTTATTTTTTTGGCAGATTTGCCGGGTCATTAAGACTAATATATGAAGTTAAAACTTACTTTATCTTATTTTTTTTAGAGTATTTATACCATAAAGTGTTTTGATGTAGAATCATTAAACACTAGTAAATCTTGCATAACTGAAAGTATAATTTAAGTACCAGCAGTGAGTTCAAGGGAGTATTAAGAATTTATAAATTAACGTTGAATTGAGATTTGAACATATTGATTACATTTAAAACATTCATTTTACTATCCGTACATGTCCTTTACAAATATTTGACAATGAAAACTTACTTTTATATATAGTACTATATTAAAAAGAGTGTACATGAAAACATCACAATATTAAACCAAAGGAAATCAACCAAAACAAAACATATAATAAAACGCATATTAAAACTCAAAACTAAAAATGCTAAAGTATTAAAGAAACCCAAATGCAAAAAAGAAACCAATAATTAAGAACCAAAATTAAGATATTTGTTGAAAGATATTATCATATATCTATTATATCATAAGGCCCATATAAATCCACAGCACTAATTGATTGCTATACCGAGGGTAATATTTCATCATCATTTGGATTATTAATTGTATTTCTATATTTTAATTGTAATTTGTTTGAAGAAGATCTATTTGTTAAAGTATTTGAAATTGAATTTGGATTTGATATTGGATTTGTTAATGTGGAACTTGATATTGAACTATGATCACTTGTTGAATTTCTTGATAAAGAATTTTTTGAATCATTTAATAAATTTGATGAAAATACTGAAAAAGGTCTCCCTGAGATTGTTGATGATTGTTTATTATTTGATTTTGATGTATTTGAATTAAAAGATTTTTGAATTGATTGTTTAATCATTGATTGATTTATAGGGGATGCAATAATTAATTCATTTGGATATTGAGATTCTAATTGTGATAAATTTGAATGACGAATATGTAAAACTTTTAATCTCCATGTAGTGCCTGGTGTGGAATATGGTTTAACTCTATGTTTTGCCATTGTTTATGTGATATGTATTTGGTTCTTTTGATAAAAATATGAAATGAGTTTTATTTGAAATGAATTAATGAAATGAATAATGAATGCGTTATATATATAAATATGAATTGATTTGAAATGGAGTATGGATATCTTATGATTTAAATATCTTGGAAAGTTAATTATATTAGGCAATAGATCCGATATAAATCTCTATATGTATACTTTTACCACCAAAATTTTCAATTTTATTCTTGCTAATAGTTATTCCCCAAATGCCTTAGGTGAAGTTCTTTTATATGTTTAACGGTTTAATTTTATTATATATGTGAATGTATGTAATATAAGTCCTTAGTACTATTGAAAATATTTAACACAATGTGCATTTAAGAACCCAGGTTAAATGAAAAGAATTTTTTTCTTCAGTTATAGCCTTCTATACTTAAATTGGAATGTTCTTCGTTTGAAAATTGATTGGAGGATTGGTTTAATGATCTTGTATTGAAATTTATGTGTATGAATGTTGAATGATTAAGGCGGGATCTTTATATGATTTGAGATCTTATTGTAATTATGCTGTAAGGTACATATAAGTGAGCCTTGCAAGGGTAATGAAAAAGATCCAGGATATTTCAATCATTTTATATCAGATCAACGATAAACGAGTAGAAATTGTATTTTGTTATCTGTTATTCGTAATCAATTTGGTGAATGATTGTTGGCAATTTTGAAAATCGGATGTTTTGGTATGTATGCATATAACATTCCACTTTTAAAGATCTTGAGAAGAAACGGCCATGTACTTATTTGATCGTAGTAAAGATGAGTTTTGAACAAGAAGATCTGAGACTTTTGATTGACATTTGATTATGGGGAGAGATTTTTTTGAATTGGTTTGATCATACGTCCTTTTGGGAATTGAATTGGTTGTAGTTCATAGTTATGGGTTAACGTTGAAAATTCACATTCTCCATAAAGATTTTCAACGCGATTTCTTTCAACCTTTTATGAAATGTACACCAAACGGTGAACCAAAATCTTTTATATATAAAATTGTAAGCGGATTTCTTGACAAAAGACTGTATAATCACCTGTGGAATGTCCTGCTATGATATTCATTGCGTTTTAACCGTTTAGATTTACACTCGAGCAAAGGGTTTACTCTACAGAAGAAGCAAACACCGATTATTAAATTATTATATACATGAACTAAGTCTATGAGTTGAGGTATAAAAGAATTGAGTTGACCTGTACTCTGTAGATATGACTGAAATGATGGATTGATTGTCTAGTTTACAGATGTTTCAACTAACCTTCCTTTGATCCTAGGGATTTAAATAAAATAAATAATGGAACAATCATATTATAAACCTTTCAAAAATTCAGTTTTCAAAGGTAATTTTTCACCTAACCATAAAGCATTCTTGGTATGATCAATTAAATCACTTTCATCAGATCTTGGATGAATTAATACACTTAAATTACCATGTTTTTTTTGATAATAATTTAAAATTTTTAAAAAAGTTTCAGGAGATCTTGTATCACTTTCAAACATACCATAATCATTTGGATGTGGACCAATTGATTGATTAAAAGTTTTAAAAATTCTCATTGAACCTTGGTTTAATTCATTATGAAATTCATTTGTTATTGAAACTTTAAAATCTTTTGCATATTGAACTTGTACTGGATCATCAAGTTTAAAATAAGTATGGAAATCATATGAAGTGATGTTATAATGGAAAGAGGCCATTGTGGATATATTTTTTAATATGTTAGGAGTATATTGAATGATAGAAAGATACTTAAATCAAAAGATCATCATCATAATTGAAAGATGGTTATCCAAACTGCTTTATATAAAATATTAAAACTGTGGGTATTAACAGAAATTTCAAATGCAGCTTATAAATATTTTTAGTAAGCACAATAAATTTATTTAACCGGGATTCGGTAAAATGAAAATTGAAATGCATCTGTGGACGTCATTAATTTTATCTGGAAAACTATTATAAAAGTACCAAAAATTCCAAAAAATTGATCCCAAATTTGACTTCATTTAGAAACTAAATCCTTAGTTCAGTTAAATAGTTTGAATTCGGAATTGGAGGTGTGGCAATTATTGAGAATTTATATATTTCTGATACATATACCTGTGGATTCTTACAATTATGTTATATTCATAGATCAAGTGTGTTTATACAAATGGTATTAGATATCCAATCGAATATTTAATATACAGTTTGGAAACAAATAAAAGAGAAGTTGATTACTATAAAACTAATCTTTATTTAAAAACCAATTGATAGTTTTAAATAGAATTGAATGATTTGTAGTTATATATACTTAATTAGCTCTTCTAACACTATTTACCACAGCGGATAATTATTCGTGTACTAGTAGCTTTTCATAGCGAAGTTAATTAAAGATTTGTTTTTGTGACGCGTTATTTTGATTTCCAAAAAATATTCAAATATATTTAAATAACTTAGCCGCCACAAAATTTTTCTTCAACCTTTATATATTTTTATATAAGTGTAACCGACAGCATCATTAACCTTTAATAAGTAATTTCATTGAAGTCTGGTAAAACGTCAATAAGCGTTGGCAGCTATGCCTAAGGGTAAACATCTTTGTTTGAAACCATTTCAAGCTATTGAACAAGTCAAACATTTTTTTGAAGCTGGTATTCTATTAGAAAACTTTAGGTGTTGTTTCATATAAATAGATATACATTATCCTAATAAACATTCAAATAATTAAGATTCAAATACCATTGATATTGAGCTATTTGATTGAATAGTATATCAGTTTGATTTCTTAATTGTTAATTATTTCTTTCATTCATATTCATTTGATTGTAGCGCTTAATTTTGTACATTTATATAGTAACCAATGGTACTTTTAAACGTGGCTCGTAAGATAATACATATCGATATGCAAAGTCGAATATAGTTTTGCTATACTTTTATCATATTACAATGCTCATTATATATTGGCTTGAAGAGCGGTACGTATTTTATAACTAATGTTAAATTTGTAAAAAAATATATTGTTAATATTAAAAACCACGATGATAAAGTATTGTAACAACCTTATACAATCCATGATTTAAACATAAACACATTAATAATTATTCGAATTGAAATATTTCCAAATATCATAATTTATAAATATATGTCACTATTGGAAATTAGTTTTCAATAATTCTATTAAAAAGGTTAGCAGACAGGATCACGCTATGAGCTTAAATCATTTGTGTCCATCACATATCACATACTTTAATTATAAGGAGTAATCAAATATATTGAAGAATTGCATTTGAAAGTTTCACTAAGAAAGTAGTGAGAAAGCAGAAAAGTTTCTCGAGATTTCAAATATATCTCTTGTCTTTTTATTTGTGTTGTAACTAGTAAATTGTAACACTAGCTGTATTTTAACACCAATTAACAAAAAAAAAACCGAGTAATTTCAGATGGTCAATTTATTTAAACGGAAAGATCTGTTGATTTTACCGGGATCATGAATTTGATAAGGAACAATATTATAAATTACAATTTGATCATGAAGTTGACAAATACTAGTTGTATCATTTGATCATAATAAACATATAAATTAGCTTGATGTGATTAGTATATTTATATGATATTGCATGACTATAATATCACATGTTATCCACAAGTGGGTTAATTATACAGCATGCGTTTGAGAACTTGTGGCCAGTTCAAATATTATTTGGAAAACTATAAAAACTTCACATCTCCTTAATATTTCATGGATTATAATCCTACAAATCTGCCAATTGTATTTGATATTCAAGCTCAATTTTGATCAATATGTGTTTCGTATATTCATCATGCTGATGATTTTTTCTAGACGTTAGTTCTTTGACAATGTGAATATAAGGATGCAATTTTAAATATTTGAGATTCAATGTCAATGTATATTTGCAGACATTATATAAAAGTTAATGGATTTTATCATTAATTTTTCAATAATTAACATATGATTATTCAATCAAATTAATATACACTTTGAAAACAAATACAAGAGAAGTTGATTTCAATAAAACTGATCTTTATTTGAACTTTCAATGTCTTGTTTCTATATAACCATTGAATCATTTTTGTAGCTTTAGATCTACTAATTAGTTAAATAATTGGTATTACCTTCCTTTGATGTTTACTTATACGTATAACACCATGTTTTATTACAGGGGTTATTTTGTAATGAATTAATTGATTTCATTAGTTCTATGACGCGTTATAATGATTTGGTTTTCAATTTGGGTTTAGCCGCCACTAATCAAAGCATTTCTATAAATTTTAAAAACAATATTTATAATTTTAACTTGACTACTTACCGCCATGTGAATCATCTACAATTAACCATCATTCAATTAACAGGTAATTGCAGTTTAATAACTAATGGAAATAATTAATTAATGGGAAACATACCTTTAACAATATGATATTTGAATAATTATAAATTCAGCACATTTAAACTTAAAATTCATAACATACCTACCTTTTACTAGAGCTTTAGATAATATTAATTTGTTTCTATATACAGAAATACAAGCTTAATAAACATTCAATCAATTGAGATTCAGATTTTTGATATTATAAAGCAATTAATATCAGATTTGATTTCTTTAGTTGTTTTATCTCTTTAACTGATTATTTTCAATTGATTGTAGTTTAAACGTATACGTATAAGATTTTTGTGTTTGTGTTTGTGTACTTGATTTACCGCCCTAGAAAATAACGCATATAAAAGATCAAATTTTGAATCCAGCGTTTTAATTATCTTTATACTCTTTAATTAAGGTCTTTTTTGTGAACGCTTTGTTTCTTGTTCTAGTCGGTAAAACATGGCAATCCATGTGATACACTTTGAGATCTAATTTTGGAAAAGTTCCATCGCCGGTTTCAATCATATTCATCATTATATAAATTTCTTTGATATGCTATATATTGTTAATATAAACATCTTGGATCATATATATGATTGAATTATTTAATACACAGCGCTCAAGGAATTGATTGATTGGTTATTAATAATAACTTGATATCATTCCAAAGAGTGATTTTATATTTCAATAGAATAACATGTAGTGATTTTGATAATGATTATGACCGATGTACTATAGGAATTTAAAACTACAATAATGTAACCTGATAGTCGAATGTGCAAAAAAATGATACGTTTATTAAAATTCATGTTGATAAAGTATTGTAACAACCTTATTCAAAACACAAAACATAAACATGTTGATCTAGTATTCAATATGAACGAATATTTGTTTTCTAATATTTGAAGAGTTCACCAGTAATTTGTATAGCAATTTAAATTCAAAGCAAAAATAATAAAGATGATGACACACAAAATTTAAGCACAATTATTTATTCGTAATGAATTTTAATAATAGAGCTGCTTTTAGCTCGACCTCCATGAGTCGAAGTCAAATATACCACAAGAAAATTAATTTTCTATAATCTATTCAATTAGCAAAAATTAAGGTATAATCCACGATATAATTATACGACCCTAAAGCCGTTCAGGTTACTGACGGCGCTTCAAACAATATCAGTGCTCTTCAAGATCTATTTCAAATGTAAAGTATCTATGTGAATTTCAAAGATAAGTTTATAAAATGACAAATGAATGTTCAAAAAAATCAAACATTTAGGTATGATGTGGCTCTTACCGGCTAACTATTGGAATTGAGTTCATGACAAATTGGGCGTTAAAAATGATAAAAATGATATAAAGTAGAGAAACTTATGTTTTTTTATTGTAATAGGTTCATAAAAGAGTAAGAAATACAAGAATGAAGGTTACATCGTGTTATATGAAGATCTAGTATTTACTGTTACATACCCCATACCAACTACCAGAAATATGTCTTATTATGGAAACAAAGTACAATTTGATAATGATAAAGAATTATAATTGAGATCAATTAAAACAATTATATCACAAGAATGTTAACAAATTAATTGAATCATATGGTTATATGTGATTAAGCTCGCTCATTAGTACTATATCTCTATTATAATTTAATGAGTTTATGCTTCAAATATCTACTTCACATGATCAAGATTGGTTTAAAGTTTACACGTGAGATTTCATGTCCTTGTGTTCTTGGTGGTCATAAATTTTATTTGAAAAACAAATATAAGAACAAACAATTTCAAAAAATATATTCTATGATTTCATATTTAATTTCATACAATTACAACAAACTTATCCTGGAGGTGTGTGATCTGTGTTTTCTTCTAGCTTCTCAGCTTTGATATTACATCAGTTATATTAATATAGATTGAAATAAGCTATACTAAGAAATTTGAAAAGGAAAGTCATGTCATTAGGTGAGATAATTCAATGTATATTCACCAATATATTATAGCTATTGAATGATCTTATTATCATTTTGTTATAGAATTATATGGTCGAAGTTATAGAATCAAATTAATATCCAATTTGGAAACAAATACAAGAGAAGTTGATTTTACTACAATTGATCATAACTAATCTTTATTTGAACTTCCAATGTCTAAAGTTTTTGATATGTGATTGAATAATTTGACGTAGTTATTATATTTATTATGTGGTTAGCTATATTCAATATATATTAGTATTTACACAGCGGCTAATCCATTTACATAAGCTTGATTCGGCTTTGTGGTTGATTCGAATCAATTTATGAAGTTGTGATATAAATAAAGTTATCCACCTGCAAAATTCACTATTTGATATATTTCCAAATTCACATTATATATATACCATCGGCCCCAATTTAATTTTTGTTGATATTTGTTATTCTCAGAAACTTTGCCAATATGTTGACTTTATATACAGAATTGTACTGTGATACCGTGCTCTAAATTTTCAGTAACCTTTTCATCTTGAAATTTTAGTTCCAAGAACAACTTATAGGTTGTTTCTATATAATACATATACAGATATACAATTACCTAATAAACATTCAAATAACTGAGATTCAAGTTTCATTGATACATAAAAGCTATTTGGTTGAATAGCATAGATCAGATTGATTCTTCAGTTGTTTTATTCATATTTTGAATTTCATATTCAATTGATTGTAGCTTTATACGTATACGTACACGTACAAGAACTTTGTTAATTTGTGTTTGTGTACTTGATCATTTACCGCTCTGAAAACGGACATATATAAACTCAAATAATTCCATATCCACGCGATCCAATTATAATATTATATATTTATATTAACATGGAATAGTAAATTTGTTAGCAATGAAAATTTCGATGATCTTTGTGCCAAATAGTTCTTGAATATAGAAGTGAAATAATTTCTTAATGTTGTTGGAACCACTTGTAAATATGATTATTGAATCCAATGAGCTTGAATATTCATCATTATATATTTAATCTTTCAGTAAATATGAAGCTCTCAGATATATAAGATTGATTTTAATACACAGCGCTTAAGGAATTGATTGATTAGTTATTCATAATGACTTGATATCATTCCAAGGAGTGTTTTTATATTTCAATTGAATAGCTTGTAGTGATTTTGATAATAATTATAATTGACAACTGCAGAAAAACCAACAATTCATAACTACAATATTGTAACATGTTAGTTGAATATGGAAAAGAAGATATGTTTATTGGAGTCCATGTCGATAAAGTGTTGTAACAACCTTATACGAACATAATCATCATAAACATGGTTGCTAGTATTCATATGAATGATAAAATTATATTTGATATTATTAAATTTGATATCATTCATTGAAGATATATCCATACCAGATAATAAAGCATGTCATAAAAGGCAAACATAAATACATCTGTTGGGAACAAACTCTATTAGTGGAAAAAGTTAGTAAATTAAACATCTAGAATTAGTTCAAGCTATTTGTATTAACACATACATTTGAGATTATAACATCAATAAAACAATCAAGCTGATTATTAAACACCTAAACGGTGACAATTAGACAATAAGGCGAAAATAACCAATCTAACACACGTCAACTTCTGCACAATTAAAACTAATAAGAACAAAAGCTCTTGATCAATCATGGAAAATTTTCAAAAATTAAATACCACAACATCAAATAATTCGCGTTTCAAAATGAATATCATCACATAGAGTGAAACTAGTTTTATATCATTAAAATAATCGATCCATAATGTTCTAATACATTATTCGTTGTGTAAGTGATTTCATAGAAAGTGAGAATCATATACCATATTGTACAAGTATCGATTGATAATATAAATTTAATTATCATACGTCACGGTCAGCTAAATCAGTACGAATGTTGTAAAATATTAACCAATATGTTTGATAGTAGGAAAAAAATATAGTGTTTATTCAATTCAATTAATGCTGATAAAGTATTGTAAACAACCTTATACTAACATATAAACAATAAACACTCTAATATTAATATAATGAATCTAATAGATTAATTCCAAAGTGCATTAAATATCATGTTATTCCAAAATATCAATCAGCTAATAGTTTATCAATTAGTAAATATTGAGTTCAAGTTTCAGTTGTATAATTAATATATCATGATTTAATTAAATCCATAGATATAAATTAACCAGCTTGCCAAAAAAAACAGATTAAAACACTCACACATCAAAATTTGGTCGTCTATTTAGTTCCTAACTGAAAAATTGACTAACGTCATCAATTAAAATTAAAATTTAAACATAACAAGCTGCTGGAACCAACAAATAAATATGGCTGAGGGTGAGCTATTTATAATTTACATACCAAATTCTATAAGATGATTGAAAGAAATTCACCAATATATTTTTTTCATCAACGCGTCAAATTCGCGTTTATAAATTATCATGATGAATAAGATCTTCGACTAACCATCTATGACCACTGCTTAAGTTCAAATCTATGAAAGTATCGATAAACAAGTGGTATACTACACTCCAAACCATATACTTGAAAAGAAAGAAAAAGTAAAATGTCTATTAAAATCCATGTTGATAAAGTATTTTAAACAACTTCATACTAAAACATAAATTATAAACAATAATGGTTAGTATTCATATAATATAGATCAATGTAAAATGACTATAATCAAAGTTGGGTAAACAACTATATGATAACTATTCTGTCAAACAATTTAAACAATTTATGAATGCAATATATGTCATTTGCTTTGGGCTCAAAAATGCACCAGAAGTATTCAGTAGATTCTTGCAATCAAATTAGCTGATTTTGGTCTCTCCAATGATAATTTTATCATGCAATAGTGATAAAAGCTGGTCACAATTTTCTGTATTGTGATTCAGGGGAATCCCAAAACGTCTTCACAAGTCCAACATTCATGGCCATAAAATATCCATGATTTTTTTTGATTTAGCTTCATGCGCAAAATGTTTTTATAATTTTCAACCTCACCAACAGCGAATTCGCGTTTAATCGTATAGCGGATTCAATGAACAAATTTTAAATCATCATATTGAAGACAACTGATATATAAAGTTCTAATATATTATTCATAAGACTACAATTATATCACATCATGATACAAAAGTATATATATCGATGATCAGCTTAATACTACGCGGAGATGTAGTGAAAATAAAATGACGTTTATTAAAATCAATGTTGATAAAGTATTGTAGAACAACCTTATACTAAAACATAAATCATAAACAAAGTTGATAATATATATAGTTCTCATGTAATATAATGAATTAACCTTGTATCATATTAAACTGAATAATTATCCAATATCAGATATCCACACCTTAAATTCTATGATATGTGACTTCATAAGATTTGATCTAAACATACAATCTGATAATAAAACAAAAGTCCACTAATAATAAATGTCCTAATTTCAAATTACTTCGATGATATAGTCATTAGCACGAACGCGGATGAAAAATTGCAGCTTATAATAAAATAATTAAGGAATTTTGAATATTACGATTTGTATTAAAAAGTTTTTCATATTATAATTGAACAATATTCGCGAACATATCAATATCGAATCAAATCATTTACAATTCATAAACTTGAACAATCACTTAATATTTAGTTAGAGATCATATATATAATGCTATCAACTGATAACTCGACTGTTGATATGTAAGTGAAGTTTTGAATCTCTGGAGAAGAATGTTTGTAATCGAAATGATTCAATTTCCATGCAACCAACAACGTGTAGTCTAATTAAGCCACAATCAATGGTATCACTGCACGATAAGATTAGTTCTGATAATGCAAGGAAGAAGAACAAGATACAACTAAACAAAAGGTGGATTTGAACAAACTAATAACATGATACTCTTAATAAACCATACACATTAAATCGTTTATCAGTTCCTTTGCTTCCGTTTATTTCTTTGTAATTCTTTTAAATTCTTTTTGGTTTAAAATTGTCTTTACTTATACGGCATTATCTATTAAATTGCCATCCACAGTGCTGTGAATTACACAGAGGTCTTTGTGCAATTATTATGCTCTTAGACAGACTTAGACAGACACCCTATGTGTAAATATCAGAACAGTACACCGTCATATTGCCGCCCCTGCCCAGCACCGCATTAGGAACATTTCCCTTTTAGGACAATTCAAATCAATTTTTTCGATAAGATAAAAATTTTTTTGTAATTTTCCAAAGGGATTTTGATTTTTTTTAATCAACAACAGGAAAAAAACTTTAACTTGTTTTAGTAAACAATTAGTATTTATCATCAATATTTCATTCATTCGTTTAATGATATAACAATAAAAGAGCGTCTAGATTATAAAAAGGACAATAAAAAAGATAAGATACACAGTTAAGATATAGTGGTGTTAATTTTTGGTTTTTTCATTATTATTTATTATATTGGAAATTATAGATCTAACCATGTCGGAAGTTCAACATCAATCACCAATTTATGAAAATAAATTAATTCCATCAATAAATGATGAAAATAATCAAAATCAAGTACATCAACAATCTCAGAATCAAACATTACCTCCATTACAAATCAAACAACAACAACAAGGTCAACAATTACCTTCAATACAATTACATCAACATCAACATAATCAACAAACTCAACCTCAACATCCAAATGTTAAAACAACAACTCAAATAAATTCAAATGGTACTTCTACAATAAAGACAAATTTATCAACACCAATTTGTAAAAATTGTAAAACTTCAACTACACCATTATGGAGAAGAGATGAAACTGGTCAAGTTTTATGTAATGCTTGTGGATTATTTTTGAAATTACATGGTAGACCAAGACCAATTTCACTGAAAACCGATGTTATAAAATCAAGAAACAGAGTTAAACATCCAAACCAGGCAAATAATGGTTCAAAGGGGAATAGTGATCCAAATACACCAAAATCTCCTTCACCATCACAACAACAACATCAACATCATCAACAACAATTACCAGGATTATCTATGCAAATGCAACCACCACATCCAAATCATCTTCAAGGTCCACCACAACCCCATCCAGGATTACAAGGTGTACCACCACCACCACAATTACCTTTACCACATGGAATAAATCGAGTAGTATCAAATCCTCAACAACAATCACAATCTAAAACAACAACAAATTCTCCATATATTTATCATTTACATCCAAATCAAACACAGCAACAAGGTCAACCACAAGGACAACAACAACACTTACCAAATCATTTAACTCAAATCCCTGTCCCATTAAATCATCCAAATTCTGTACCAACTCAATTTCAATCAAATTTAAATACTATAACATCACCATTATTATTAAGTACAACACCTAAAACTACAACAACAAGTTCAAATTTAAGTAATAGTCATATAGTTGCCGCTGATGTATTAGATAATTTAAGCAAAAATGAAAAACCAAGTCATTTAAACTTGAATGATTCTTCTAAGGATAAAATTAAACCTTTCAGTCCAACAACTGCTTTAACTGGGAATAATACAAAATTACCAAGTTTAAATAATGTTGCACAAGTTAATAATCAACCTATTTATTCTTCATCACCAAGTTTTGGACCTCAACATTCAATAATGTATTCAAATTCACAAACACCAACAACAACAACAGCAACTAATGCTCCAACAACTCAGACCACACAAATGGTTCCATTACAAGTATTTGAAGATGAAACTTCTAAATTAAAGACTAGGATATCTGAATTAGAATTAGTTAATGATTTATATAAATCTCGTATTCAAGAATTAGAAAATTTAGATTTTGAACAAAAGGAAAAATTTAATGAATTAAAAAGAAAATTTGAATCAAGTGAGGAATCTGGTGAACAAAAGAAATTTAAATCTGAAGAATCAAAATAATGTAAAAGGTAAAGCTTATATTGTATAAATTAATTTTCATGATGTGATGAATTAAATATATTGTAATTTGTAGTATGTTGTTTTTGGTTATACAGTGGTCTCGGAAAAACAATTTTTAAGCGATTTGGAAATTTGGAAAGTGATCCAAAAAGCTTAGTTTGCCTAGTAAAATGTCAAACAAAGACAATAAAGAAGCAATATCAGGAAAGATCATGCTATGGTAACTATTGATTATATTGATTATACTCTTTATATCTTTGTACTACTAGTCTAGTTAATTTAATGATGGTAGTTGTTGCGTTGACGTGTTGACTACGCCTCCACAATAACTGTAGTCATCTCCACATAATTGAATATCAATTTGAATCAATAAAACAGTACGGATTAATATATTCCGTGATTAACAGACAGCAGACAGTTAAATGTTAGATCATTAGACAGGTACAATTAATTAGTTTATTACTATAAATCTAGGTTATTGTGTTGTGATGTATTGTTTTGTTTTATTGCTATGTACTTTGTTTAGCAATCCGGAGAACATGAGATTATGTATAGACTAAACAATCAATGAGTAGTAATAGAAACTAGTATATACTATTAAAACAACCATGGATTACAAAACTCATACAATATTAATAACAGTTTTAGATCATCAAAGATCATCCATGTTATTTACATCTTTGACAAACTGTTATAGTAGTAGTGGGCAATGGACATGTACTCGGTATAGTCTAAGTTGTCTGACAAAATTTGTTTTATACCCACTGGAATTAATGGAACATTATTCAACATTGCTATCATCGGATTTTTATGATTTATACAACAAAAGAAGATATATAAATTAGAATGATTCCTGAAATTTAAAACTATGATTACTATACAATGATATTATAGATTCAAGTTCATAAAGTTTTATCAAAAATGGATGAAAAAATTGATGAACAACATGCTGAAGTTGCCCATCAAACTTCAAAACCTCGTTCAAATTCTTTATTTCAACCAAATTATCAAAATTCAACAACTTCAACTCCAGATTTAAATTCTGAAAAATCTAATGGTCAACCAGGTCAACAAGGTCAAGATGAAATCTCTTCAGATAATATCCTTTCACAATATGATGAAGATCAAGTTATGCAAATGGGTAAAAATTTTGCACTAAAACATAATTTACCAAATCCTGAAATGTTCGCTAAAGGTGCTGCTATAGCTCGTAATCCAAAAGGTTATAATAGAATGTCATTCTTAACTGATGAAGAAAAACAAGTTTTACATCAAGAAGTTCATAATCCTTGGAAAATCCCAAAGAAATTATATCAAGTTATTTTTTCAATTTCATTAGCTGCTGCTACCCAGGGGGCAGATGAAACTGTTATATCTGGTGCTTTATTATTTTATCCTCATGCTTTAGGGATTGGTGAAAAAACTGATAGAAATCGTTGGTTAGAAGGTCTTGTAAATTCTGCACCATATTTATTTTGTGCATTTGTTGCAACATTATTTACAGATCCGGCAAACAAGAGATTTGGTCGTAAAAAAGTTATATTTTGGTCATGTTTAGCAAGTGCTTTAACTTGTTTTTGGCAAGGTTTTGTAAATACTTGGTATCATTTATTTATTGCAAGAGCTTGTTTGGGTGCTTTTGGTATTGGTCCAAAATCTGCAACTGTTCCTGTTTATGCTTCTGAAACTGCTCCTGCACCAATTAGAGGTGCTCTTGCGATGCTTTGGCAATTTTTTACTGCATTTGGTATTGCTCTAGGTTATGTTTTTTCAATTGCATTTTATTATGTACCAAATCATGGTTTTAAAAGTGGATTAAATTGGAGAATAATGTTGGGGTCTGCAATGATTCCTGCATTTTTAGCATTATTTCAAATCCCTTTTATACCAGAATCTCCACGTTGGTTAATGGGTAAAGAACGTTATCTTGATGCTTTTGAATCTTTAAAAAGTATAAGAAATCATGAAGTTTGTGCTGCAAGAGATTGTTTTTATCAATATGTCTTGTTGAAAGAAGAAGCTGGATTAGAGACTCCAACAATGGTTAAATTAAGAGAAATGTTTACCGTGAGAAGAAATAGAAATGCTTTAATTGCTGCATTTATTGTTACTTTTATGCAACAATTTAATGGTATTAATATTATTGCTTATTATGCTTCAACAATTTTCGTTGAAGCAAATTATTCACAAATTAGTGCTTTAGGTGTTTGTGTTGGTTATGGTTTCATAAATACCCTGTTTGCAATACCTGCTTTTTTCACAATTGATAAAGCTGGTAGAAGATTTTTATTATTAATTACATTCCCATTCATGTCTGCATTTTTATTCCTTACTGCGTTTTCATTTTTAATTCCAACTGATCAAAAATCTGGTCGTGTTGGTGCAATTACTTTAGGGTTATATCTATTTACATGTTTTTATTCATTTGGTTCCGGGGTTGTTACTTTCCCTTATACTTCAGAATGTTTCCCTCTTTATATCAGAACATTAGGATCATCATTATTAGTTGGTAATTTATGGTTTTGGAATTTTGTTATTGCAATTACATGGCCATCAATGATTGATTCATTTACACCAACTGGTGGGTTTTGTTTTTATGCTGCATGGAATATAGTTGGATTTTTCCTTGTTTTATGGTTCTTACCAGAAACAAAAGGCTTGACATTGGAAGAATTGGATGAAATTTTTGATGTACCAATGTATAAACATGCTACTTATCAAACTAGAGAATTTTGGCATGATTTTCAAAGAAATTTCCTTAGAAGAAATATTCCGAAACAAGAACCTCTATATAGTCATCAAAGAATGGCTGTTACTAATGAATTCTGGAATGATAAACCAGAAAACCAGCATATTGAGTAACATTTATATAGTATTTATCAATCATAAATATAATATTAGTTTTTGAAATTTTGTTTTGTAAAATTGGTTATATGTTTGTGTCCCAAACCGCTGCCATTTTTAATCGGTCTCACTTTCCCAGATGTTTTTTTTTTTTTTTTGGTTTTCCTTCAGTGAAAATTGAATTTAATTAAGCTTAAACGGATTGAAGAGATTGAAACTTCTTTTGATACTTCATATTTATAAGGATTTATTGATTAATTGATATATCAAAGATGTCTGAATTCCCACCATTAAAGAATGATTTGATCTTGAGAGCTGCAAGAGGTGAGTTTGAAAAGTTGTATTGCATGAGTACTATTGATTGCTAACTATATAATTTCCAGGTGAAAAAGTTGAAAGACCACCAATTTGGATTATGAGACAAGCTGGTCGTTATTTACCAGAATATCATGAAGTTAAAGATGGTAGAGATTTTTTTGAAACTTGTAGAGATGCTGAAATTGCAAGTACTATTACTATACAACCAATTGATCATTTTGATGGATTAATTGATGCTGCAATTATATTTAGTGATATTTTGGTTATACCGCAAGCTATGGGTATGGAAGTTATTATGATTGATAAACAAGGTCCTCATTTCACCGATCCTTTAAGAAAACCTGAAGATTTGAACAAATTAAATAAGCATGTTGATGTTACTAAAGAATTAGATTGGGCTTTTAAGGCAATTACTTTAACAAGAAAAAAATTACAAGGTAGAGTTCCATTATTAGGTTTTTGTGGTGGTCCCTGGACTTTATTAGTTTATATGATTGAAGGTGGTGGTTCAAGATTATTTAGATTTGCTAAAGAATGGATTTATAAATATCCAAAAGAATCCCATGAATTATTACAAAGAATCGCAGATGTTGCAATTGATTTCTTAGCTCATCAAGTTAAAGCAGGTGCTCAAATGTTACAAATTTTTGAATCTTGGGGTGGTGAATTAGGTCCAAAAGAATTTAAAGAATTTTCTTTACCATATATTAAACAAATTAGTTCAAAATTACCTTCAAAATTAAAAGAATTAGGTATTAAAGAAGATATTCCATTAACAATTTTCGCAAAAGGTTCATGGTATGCATTAGATGATTTATGTGATTCAGGTTATAATGCTGTTTCATTAGATTGGTTATGGGATCCAAAAGAAGCTGTTAAAATTGCTAATGGTAGAGTTACTTTACAAGGTAATTTAGATCCAGGTACAATTTATGGTTCAGATGAAATTATTTCTGAAAAAGTTGAAGAAATGATTAAAGGATTTGGTGGTGGTAAACAAAATTATATAATTAATTTTGGTCATGGTACTCATCCTTTTATGGAACCTGAAAAAATTCGTCATTTCTTAAAAGAATGTCATAGATTTGGTTCTCAATGAATTTAATTCCTTATAATTGGGGGGTTTCTTTTGGGAAAAATTTTTGAAAAATGAATTCATGATCTTATATATATTGTTATGACAATTATGATACGATTCAATATAATACTTAATAATACATGTTTATAGTAAGGAATTGTGATGATTTGTAGATATTTTGTAGAAGTTGATTATATACCAACTTTTTTGTCGCGCATATGGTGAAAAAAATGAAAATAAATTGGCCCATAATTAACATTGATATAATTCAAATTTAAGCAGAAACCACCAAATTTACAAGATCAAAGTTGTCTCCAAGATGAGTGGGAAAGTCCAATATGGTCCAGAAGAAACATTTGTTTACAATCTCTCGGACAAGTTGCTTGATTCCTTGCAATTGATGTATTTTGATAGTTCAACTACTCAAGAAGTTTTGCCACAAAAATTAACAACAGAAGCATTATCCAAACATGATGAACAATCTTCAAAAGAAGTCTCACCAGGTCCCAGACCAGTTAAAGATAAAGAGTATTACAAGTCTGATTTACATAGGTTTAATTTGAAAAGAGATATGAAAGGTCTTCCAAGATTAACTGAAGAACAATTTGAAGAATTAGCTGGTGATTTAGATGAAAGTATATCAGGTTCAGATTCAAGTGATACTGAAACTGATGAAGAAGATGAATTATATGAAAGTAAAAAGGATAAAATAGATACTCTGTTTGAGAAAAATGTTCAACAATTACAAGATTTGAAATTACAAGAATCTGATAGTATTGTTAGTCATCTTGCTACAAGATCTCCATATATATTATTTAGATCTTCATTATTAAAAGAAGATCAATTATTTGGTATTTATAAATCATTATTTAGTTTAAAACAATTGGAATCTCCCTTAGAAGCTTTAAAAGAATGGAAATCCTCAAAACCTAGAAAATCTGCTTTATTAATGATTGGCGGTGGTCATTTTGCTGGTGCTATTATAAATCATCAGCCAAAATCAACAAAGGGGAATGCTGTTAAACCAGGTGAAAATATCTTGGAACAAAGTGTTGATCTAGTTGTTAATAAATCATTCCATCGTTATACAACAAGAAGAAAACAAGGTGGTTCTCAAAGTGCAAGTGATAATGCTCATGGTAAGGCAAATTCTGCAGGTTCAAGTTTAAGAAGAGCAAATGAAATTGCTTTACAAAATGAAGTTAGATTATTATTACAATCTTGGAAAAAGGAATTAGATGAATGTGAATCTATATTTATAAGAGCAAATGGGTCATCAAATAGAAATATTATTATTGGTTATGAAAATGCAGTTTTACAAAATAATGATGAAAGATTAAGATCTTTCCCATTTACAACAAAGAGAGCTACAACTTCTGAATTGAAAAAAGCTTGGGTTAATTTAACTTATTTAAATTTAACTGAAAGACCTAAAATTGATGATAAAAAATTAAAACAAAAACAACAACAAGAACAAATTGAACAATCAAAAATTCAAAAATTAAAAGAAACAAAAGCAAAATCACCTCAAGAGATTCATACAACTGAATTAATCTCATTTTTGAAAAAATCAAGAGGTCCTGTCCTTATAACTTATTTGAAAAAAAATAAACTTGATTTTAATTTTACACTTGAACCTAAAAATGAATATTTCACAACTCCAACTTTATTACATTTTGCATCATCTCATGGTATCAAGAATCTTATACCAATTTTAATTAAAACTGCCAAAGCAGATCCAACTATTCAAAATTCTAATGGGAAAACTCCATATGATTTAAGTGCAAATAAACAAACAAGACAAGCTTTCCAAATTACAAGATATGAAATTGGTGAAGATAAAGGAATTGATTGGGAATTAGCACATGTTGGTAAGGCAATTAGTAGAGAAGAAGTTGAAAAATTAGAATCTGAGGAAAAATTAAAAGAAGAATCTGATAAACAAAATTTAATTAAAGAAGAATTAGCTAAGAAGGAGGAAATTTTAGAACAAAATAAAAAAAATGGTGTTTCTAAACAATTAGGTGGTGTTAGTATGAATCAAGTTAATATTAATTCTCTTAGTGATGATCAAAGAATGAGATTAATGAGAGAACAAAGAGCAAGAGCTGCAGAAGCAAGATTTAAACAACAACAAAAGTAGAAGTGTATTGTACTATATATATTTATTTAATAGAAATAGAGTTAGCATATTATACGTATTGACATGTGTAGAATTAAGTTGGATTAATATCATCTATCTATACATCATTATAAACTTGTTTTATTAACTTTTGTCAAGATGAATGAAACTAAATCTGAGGTTTTATTAACAATTGATTCTGTAATCAAATCACCAATATCAATATCTTCATTAGTTTTAATTAATTTTGGATCAATATGTCTATAATCGATTAAACATTTTTTAATATTTTTAGATTTTTCCATATTTTCATCAGTGGAATTATTTTTAACTTCCAGTGCTGATACCCAACTATTTGATTTTGTTGCCTTTTCAGGTTCAGCTTCTTCATCCTCTTCCTCTTCTTCATCACTTTCATCTATGGTTATATCTATTCCTTTGCCTTCACAATCACATCTCATTAAATCATGAGTATTTGAATTTGTTGATAAATTTAAAGTAAATAAATCTTTTAAATCAATTGAATCAAATAAATCATCTTTTGAATTTTTTTGATTATCTAAAAATTTATCAGATAAATTATTCTTCATTAATTGACGTTGTAAAATTTTTTCATCAATGCAACCCGTTGTAACTAATCTATAAATGAAAACAGGTTTTTTTTGACCATCTCTATGAATTCTTGCCATTGCTTGTAAATCGATAGCTGGGTTCCAATCATTATCAAATAAGATTAATCTTGAAGCACCAATTAAATTTAATCCAACACCACCTGATTTTGATGATAAAAGAAAAGCAAAATTTGAAATTGAAGATGTTGTATTGAAAGTATTAACAATTGAATCTCTATCTTTATTTGGAGTAGAGCCATCAAGTCTTTGATAAGTTAAATTTAATTTTAATAAAATGTTTTGTAATATATCTAAAGTTTGAGTATAATTTGAAACTAAAATTACCTTTTCATTTGTTTTTGATGAGATTTCATTTAACAATTCGATTAAAACTTGAATTTTACCACTTGTTATTTGATTTGATATTTTAACATCTGATATTTGATTGAAAGTTTTATCATTTATAATTAATGATGGTGAATTACAAATTTTTTTAAACATTGTAATTAAAGATAATGAACCTGATGCTGTGGTTTTGGAAATCATATTGTCAAAATTTGTTGAACCTAAGACTTCATTAAACAAATTAATTTGCAGGTTTGTTGGACGACAAAATAATACTATATCAGTTCTTGGTGGTAAATGATTTGACATTATAGCACTTGTACGTCTTAATATGAATGGTTTAGTAATATCAATTAATTCTTGAGATTTTTCATTACCTTTAGATTTAATTTCAGGATTAATACAATTTGTTTCTCTTGATTTTAAAATTGGATTCATAAAATTTCTTTTAAATTGATTAAAATTACCCAAGATACCTGGATTAATAAAATCAATAATATTGAAAAATTCAGATAAATCATTTTGAATTGGTGTACCTGATAATAATATTTTTTTAGAAATTTCTAATGAATTTAAAACTTGTAATGTTTTATTTGAATTATTTTTCAATCTATGACCTTCATCACAAATTAATAAATCAAATTTAGATAATTTTAATTCATCTTTCATATTTAATATTTTTTCATAACCCATAATTAATACTTGATAAACTTTTGTTCTAGCAAAATTTTTAACATCTTGTTTATCCTTGGAGGTTGTATTTTTAGAACTAAGTGTTAAGACATTTAATCTATTCATTGGTAACCATTTTTTAAATTCTCTTTTCCAATTACCAATCAATGTAACAGGACATGCAATAAGAACTTTATTAACAACTGGAGTTTCAAAACCTTTTGGTGATTGTTTTAATAAAGTCCACAGTGTAGTTATTGTCATCAAAGTTTTACCAAGACCCATATCATCAGCTAATAGTGCACCTTGACCATCAAATCCTCGAAGGTCCATTAAACATTCATAAAGAAATTTAACACCTTGAACTTGATGAGGACGTAATTTTTTACCCAAAAATGGATCAATAACAACATCTGTGTCATTTGATGATGCTTTGGTCATTATAATGGCTCCTTCTAATGATGGATCATATAATGGTTCACCTTTCATAGGTTTAGGATCTGTAGGAACAACTTGTTTAAATTGTTTATTAATTATTGGTGGTTTTGGTTCTCTTTTGATAGAAATGGGTATTGATTTTGCTTCTTGTTTCACCATAATAGGTGTAGGTACTTGTGATGATCCAGCACCACCTAGTTTCCCTAATTTAGCATCAAATTTCAATTTTTCAATCTCATGATCATTGGTTATTTCAGAACTAACTTCAACTTCATAACTACCCATGGAGAAAACACCATCAGTGGTAAATTTTGAAATATTTGATTGTTTATTAAGTTCTTTATAATTCAAAGAATCATCAGCACGCAGAGATATGAAATTTGAAGTCAATATTATAAATCCATCACCATCCCAAGTTTTATTCTTCTTCATGGTTTGCTTTCTCCATACAATCTCAAAGAACCGTTCATGACCAGGAATAGCATCTTTTTGAGCTCTTTTGGCATGTTCACCTATATTATTACCACTACCACCAGCAACCAGTGTTCTCTTGGGTACCATTGGTTTGAATCCTGATGATCTTGTGGGTACAACATTTGGCACTGGTTTTACCTGTCTTTCTTCAGCTTTTGTTTCAATTGGATCTATATTTTCTTTTGATGCTTCATTGTTAGTTCTTTCCACTGTGTTCTTGTTACTATTGGAGACACTGGGTATGTTGATACGTGGCGGTCTGAACGGTGCACTGGCGCCACCGTTGCTTCGTTGTCTTCTGTACATTTTGTTCTTTGGGCGGTTAATCTTCTGAAATTTTGGTGATGTTTTTCATGTTTTTGATTAAATTTATTATGGTTTTATTGAAAAGTAAACAAAGACAGAGGAACATAACCATCGTGGTGATGAATCTCAAATTTTTAAAGGAGATTGATTCTTTAAATTTAATTTGTTCACATTATCAAGGAGAATAAAAAGTAAATTATGTTATTCTGATCAGCTTGTAAGATTGTCACAATGGCTAGTAACTCACGCTCGGTTATACCATAACGTTGTTGAACGAGCGGTGAGCTTTATGGAGTAAATTTATTTAGAACCAATATTCATAGAGACTTTGCTCCCAAAGTATATGGTGATAAATTATACACATATTGATTAAAATTGTGTTAACGGGATGATATATAGAGATATGTGTTTGATGTGACAATATTTCAGTTACTTATTCGAGCCTATCATCTAATAAATATCATTCTTTATGTCTTTTTGAAATTGATTCATTCATTATGTAGCTTTTTAGTATCGACATGTATATAGAATTACAATCAAAATGTTATTAAATCTCATTTATTCATAAATCATATTATATATATATATACTAAAGCAAACTTATCCTTTTAAACTCCAAATAACCAACCTGTTGATATACGTCTCATTCCTTATTTTCAATTTCTTTTGTAACATTTGTAGTTTCAGTTTCATCATTCCATGATTCACTTGAACTAATTTCAATACGACGTGAATTACCCTTTTCATTTGATAATTTTGGAATCTTTAAAACTAAAACACCATTTGAATAATTAGCTTTAATGTTTTCTTCATCTAATTTTGGTGATTGTGGTAATTTTATATGACGTTCAAATTTACCTAATTTACGTTCTTTAATTTTTAAATTTGAATCATCTGAATGACCAGGAATTTCACCAGTAATTGTAATTTGATTATTTTCTGGATTAAAATCTAAGTTAATCTTGTCTTTGGAAGCACCTGGAATTGAAACATGTAATTCATAATTTGACTCATTATCTAAAATATCAACTGGTGGAACAATATCAAAACCTTGAGAGAAAAAACTTGGTGAATTGAATAAACTTGGGAAAATTAATGATCTATTAGCATCTGATTCACGTTGGTTTTGTGAAACTTGTGATTGATCATTAGATTCTCCTGATTGTTTAACAGCTTTTGTTGATGGTGAAACTTTAACACGATCATTAAATCCATTTGATGCTAATAATCTATTGAATTGATCAACTTCATCATTGATTGAGTCGAAAAAATTCCAGAATGGTGAGTTAAATGACATATTTGAGTGCTTTTGAATTGTAATTGATTTAACTTATTTGTTTGTATAATTGATATTTGAATTGAATTCTTGTTGAATTGAAATGAAATTTAGGCTTGTAAAAGATGGAATATCAACCTCCTTATATACACAACTCAGGTTCCTCTTTCAACTGGGATCCATAGCAATTCCAACTCCATAATACCCGATATCATTAATTCATACCCCCTTTTCAAGCTTTCCCTATGTTTCCATTCTTTTCTAAGATTACAATTTTTTGGAAAAGGTGTCATAAAACTTTGAGGATTTGGGTTATATTAGAATCATCGCGAAAGCTCTAGAAATTTCTATCATACACAGCTCATAAATCATGTTATAGTAATACAGAGGTGAAGTGCTTATGTTTGGAAGCCTTGTCTCGATATAGAATCTTAAAGAAGGATCTGGATGTTTCAATTCTAATAGTTCATCCATGAAGCTTAACAAGTTTAACAAGTTAATTGTGGGATCATGATTTCGCTAATTCGGGATCTCTAGTTTAACATTTCCATCAAATTATCATATAATTTGCGTCTTATAGAAAATTCTGGATAGAGTGGATAATACTTACAAGCATCTAGTTTACATGTGGTATCAAATACTCCTGTTCACATGGGTGCTTCTTCCATTAGTTATATCCTTAATTAAAACACTAGTATCTAGAGTACTTTCATGGTTTGTAAGTTTAAAGTGAACAATACAACGTGATTCATGGTCTATAAGAGCATTGTTATTTCATGTACTCATATAATAGCTCTAATCTGCATATTACTGAACTGCAATCTATTGAACTCATAACCATATTATAGAATTTATAAGTACTTATCATATCAATATCATCATCATGAATATGCTTAATTGGATCAGATGCCCCGGGGAAAAGCGCTAGCGCTCTAATAACTAGACTTAGAAGTTAGAAGTTATTGTTTACAGTTGTTATTAGTCTAAAGTCTAGAGTAGGCTATATATATTATCTAGGGTAGTCTATATCCATAACATGTTAACAATATAGACTAATTAGTATATAATTACCATTACTCGAGTTCCGAGGGCACTTCATAATTGACATTTAGGCTATTTGAGACTATAATATTAATCTATAGAGAGGCTCAATTTTTATATAAAGAGATACCATTGGGTGGGAGTTAGACTATTTTAAACTATCAGGAATTCAAATACTAGTCTATTTTATATATAGATTCGTTACGCAACCGCCTTTAACCGATGTCTCGACTAATAAACCATAGGCTATATTATCAATATAGTTTTACGACCGTGATAAGAATTACGCTGCAACAAGTACACAATAAGCAGCTAGTAGATAGACCATAGACTATTTGAATCGGTTCTGAAGAGCTGAAATATCTTGTTGACTATAAAGTTGGGCTTTCTCAAGTAGAGATTCTCTAGCCTATATATCTGTAATTTCGTGGACTCCCGCGGTTAACGTCTGATCTAATAGACTAATGGATTTTGATGTTTGTGGCTAGTGAAAGACAGGATCTCAATCTCGAGTCTGTCGACTTAAAATTGGGACTAATTTAGGGTCTTGACTCTTTATGAAGTTGACTTCATTTCCTTGAAGAATTCATCAAGACTTACATTTATCTTCAAACGATGAATCAAAGAGATTCATGCAGGTCAATATGGTCAGTACACGTTATCTCAATGCGATCAAAATCAAACAGACGGGTAATCACTGTGCTCGAGTACTAGTCAATTTGTGGTTTGGTCTAGATTCTAGAATCTTAAAAGCTCATGTTGATAAAATTAACGCCTTTAAAAACCACTAAAATAATGACATTGCAGAAGGGGGTAAAATGATCTAAGGCTTAAGCTACATACACCCCTGTCAATATTTAACCTTGATTTAATATACTACATGAGGAATTATGTTGACCCATATATTACCATAACATTATATAAATTCATTAAATAATTAAACATTTACTTCATTCCTGTGAAGTCCACTTCCCTTATCATCTCGTTACTTTTAAATGATTGTCTTTGAACTCTCAATCTTATCTCATTAATTTACTCATTTCATATAAATATTAAAGAAGTTCTATTTGTACTTTCAATTTTTTCATCATCAAATATATTTTCTGGATTAAAACCTTCAAAATAATCAATTTGATCTTTATCCATAAATTTATCTTCATCATCTAAATCATAATCCGTTATTGTTGAACCTATCCATAAAGAATTTGAAACGTGTAATACTGAAATTTCAGATTCCATTGTATTTGTTGATGTAAAACTTGGTAATGATGACATTCTTGTTTCTCTTGTTTCATGGGAATTTTCATCATCATCATTATTATTTAAATTTGATGAGTTTAATTCAGATTCTTCAAATGTTAAATTTGTTGGAGTTGGATTTGCACTTGTTAAAGTTGATGAATTTGTAGATTTTTTGGTGGTTGTAAATATTTTATAATCTTCCAATGCAGATGATAACATATCTGGTTCTTTATCTTCATTCATATTTATAAAATTTGATGAAATTGGTGATTTTGAACCAAAATCTAATGAATCAATATCATCCATATCACTATTTGTAGATCCAAAATACATAGATCTATGTCTATTTGAAAATTTTGAAGATGTAGCTGAAGTTGGTAAGTTTAATGATTGATAAAACTCCTTTTCTTTAGGATCAATATTTTCTGAATCAAAAGAAGAATCTGTTGAACTTGGAATTAAACTTAATCTTTTCAATCCACTATTCCGTATAGATGAAGGTTCTGAAATTATCATACTTGATCTTTTACTCTTGTGAGCCACTGTGCTTTGTGATCTAATTATCCCTCTTGATTTATTATTTTCATTTTGACCATCTTTGGAAAGCATAGATTTCCAAAGGCTTTTTGGTTTATAATCTTGTAATGAACCTATATGACTTGAACTTCTGTGCATGATGTGAATAATAATCTATTTATACCTGTTTCCTTCAAAACTTTGGTTATAATAAAGTGAACAAAGTTGAACAAGAAGATATCCAGTGATATATATTTGATTTGATTTGATTTTTTCTATACTATTCAATTTCCCTGATATTCAACTGCAGTATAAAAGATTGACCGTTTATGCGCGATACATCTATAAAATTCACAGCCAATTAACCGCGTTCGACCATTTCGAGACCTGAAAAGTTTTTCTTCCCAACGCGACTTCCTGCTTAACCAGATCTTATTGTGCCTGTGGTTTCCCAGAATATCCATCTGTTTGAACAAATTGGGCCTTTTGCAGGTAAACATATCCCTTCGTCAAGGGGGTAACCTCAAAACCAGCAACATATAAACAAACAAACGCGTTCGAAAAGTAGAGCAAAGTGAGCGAACTCATCGTGATATTCTCCAAACGGATCATCAAACAATTCAACCCTTTCTCGTATTCTGGACCTGTGTTCTTCTTCAGCTCGAGTGATATGATTCCAGACTTGTATTTAGTATAACGAGCTACTAGATCCCCCTTTGATTACGTACAATCCTCACTAAAACAATATTTACCCCTGTGGATCATGGTCTTTAACGGAACCTAGAACAATGGGTACAATAGATCATGATAAATCTCGATCTTTGAACTAATAGTCATAGTTGACACCATATACTCTATTTACTAATACTACAATTTCTGTTAATATATTACATTAATCCATTGATTTTCTCGCATTAAATAAAACATAGCTAATCTATCATCTGTTTCTTCTTCTTTTCTTATATTCATCTCCATTGAACATAGTTACCACCAGCAGTTGTAGCACCATTAACATAGGTATAACCTGGTGGAGGTGGAGGTGGGTATTGTCCCGTTGGTTGTGTTTGTCCATTATTTGTAGCTAATAATCCAGGATATCCTGGAACTGGAACTGCTCCTTGTGGTGGTGGTGGTCCTGTTGTGATAATTGTTGGTTGTGGAACAACTCCTGATGATGTTGTTTGATATTGTGGTAACCCTGCTCTATGATTGACATCAACAAGATAACCTTGTGGTGGATGTTGAGGATGATGTTGAGCTGGTGTAGAACCTTGGGTAGGTGGATTTGGTTGTTGTGGAACATGTTGTTGTGATTGAGGTGGTTGTTGAGGTTGAGGTAATGATCCATTATGTTGTAAAACAGGTGTAGCACCTGATACTGGTGTATAAATAGTTTGTGGTTGACCAGGTTGATGTTGAACAATTGGTTGTCCTTGTGGAAGAGGTTGAGGTTGACCTTGTGGTCCAACATGAACTTGTTGAACTGGATGTCCTTGAACTTGTACTTGATGTTGTTGCTGTTGAGGTGTAGTGATTTGACGTGGTGAAGAATCATTAATATCTGGGGTATTTGAGCGTCCAGCTAATGATTGTCTTGGTAATGGTAAATGATGGAATTGTTTTGGTGTTTCTATTCTAGGTGTTGTCTGACTTGATCTAATAATTTGTGGAGCTGGTGGTCCTTGTTGTGTGATTTGTTGTTGAGGTTGTGGTGCTGAAAGTTGTGCATGTGGTCTTTGAGCTGAAGGATGTTGTTGTTGTTGTTGTTGTTGTGCTTGGATTTGTTGTTGTTGCTGTTGTTGTTGCTGAACTTGAGCAGCTTGCATGGCTTGAGCTTGTGCAACTTGCTGTTGTTGTTGCTGTTGAGCAGCTTGTTGTTGATGGGCTTGTTGTTGAGCTTGCTGAGCTTGTTGTTGTTGCTGTTGTTGTTGAGCTTCTGGTTGATTCTCTTGACATAATTCATTGATTTCTTTAGTTGATAAACCAATCAAATCTCTCAATAGCATAACTGGGGTATCTGGAGGACCTTTCAATCCTGGAGGTGGTGCTTCACCTCTTGAAGCAGCTGTCAAAGAATGTGCACGTTGTTCAGCTTGTTGACTAGCCCTTAAATCATTTGCATTTCTATAACAAGCAGATGCTCGAAGACAGGCATCTGCTGCATCACGAGCTTGATCATCACAACGTTCATAAACACATGCTAAACCATCCCAAGCAGTTGCTGATGCAAGAATTTGTGGAATTGTAGCTTCTGGACCTTCAACTTGTAATCTAGCAGCTTGTGAATAAGCAGCTAAAGCATCTGGTAATTGACCTAATTTTAAATATAATGAACCAACAGCTAACCAAGGTAATGGTGAACTTGGTCCTTTACCAAGAGAAATTTGGAAAGTATCATATGCTTGTCTTGGTGAATCGATCAATGAATAAGCACGACCTAAAATGTACCATGTTAAAAAATCCGTATTATCTTCACCATCTTCAGAACGACATTGATTTATAGCATTCTCTAATGAACTTATAGCTGATAATGGATCATAAAATTTTGTTGAAGGTAATAATAAGAAATAAGCACGAGCAATCATTAATCTTGGAATGAGTCCAATGTGTAGTAATGCATCATTTATAATTTGAAAAGCTTCATCAAATTCATTCAAACTTTCTTTCAAAAGAGCAAAATTTATCCATATACATGCATATTCTTCATATTTATCACGATTTGAAGGTAATGGACTTGAAATGGCTAATCTATATTCATTAATAGCATATTTATAATTTTTCTCTAAAATGAATAATTGTGCTAATTTGGCATGTGTATTCCCAATGATTTCATAATCAAATGCTGTTATAAGTTCTGTTGCCTTATTTTGATATATTGATAAAATTGTATGTAAAATATGTTTAACATAATTATAATTTCTTGATTTGAGTAAAATTTCTGCATTTATATATAATAATTCAGTATCATTTGGTTGTATTCCTGAAGCTCTTGTGATGGCTTGATGGGCTTGTTCATACTCCTTAAGACCTATATGAGAAATACTTAATTCTTTCCATAATTTGGTTTCATTACTCAAATTTCTAAACTGCTGTATAGCAGAAATAATTAATTCTGTTGATTGTTTATATCCTAAACCAGATCCATTTTGATCCAATTTTAAAGCTTGTGATAAACCAACTATTGATTCCACATTATCAGGTAAATGTCTTAATGAATTATCGAATGCCTTTATAGCTATTTTGAAAAGTCCTAAACTAATGGAACATGAACCAATTTGAGCCCAAGTTTGTGAAGTAACTAATTCATATTCATTGATTGAAGCTGAAACAACATTGGCTTGACTTTGAGCTATATTATTGTCATTTGAATGGCCATTAAAAACATTTGTTTTAGAACCATTTGTGAGTGGAATATGAGGCGTATTTGGAGTTCTTCTTTTATTTTGAAACTCTTGAGTAGAAGAGATCAATACATGCTTTGGCATTTCCGCAGATTGATTCAACGATTATTTATGCTTTTAATGAACTTGCAAAAGCTTTTTTAATAAAGTGGTTGGTTTAAATTGTGAATGTGAATGGTAAGTTGATGAAACAAATTTTTTGCTGTCCTTTCGTTTTGATACCTTCGGTTTTTTTGATTTTTTGTTGTATTTTACTAAATATGTAAATTCAAGTGGTCGAAGAAGAATATGAGTTCCATTTTGCAACTGCATAGTGCAGAAAGAAGGTACTTCAGGTATAACATACATATGCACAATGATGTGCAGATTAATACTGTTTTCAGTCGGTTTTGATGTACGTCTTACAGTCTGCAAAAGCTATATGCATGGCAAGTTTAAATCCGTAAATTTGGACCTTATGTACACACGGGCCATTTTTGGAACAGGTAGTTAAGAAGGAATTTCGCGAGCATTTGAGGTCAATTCTTCCTACAGTACAAACTTTTTGCCCGTCCTGGATCTTGCGAGAAATTATCTCAATTACACGTCATGATGATCCCCCTTTTATGTCTTTAGAAAGTGTTTGAATTTTGGCGTTACGTGAATCATGATTGAAAAGAGAAGCATGAACGAGTCACGACGGATGTACCAGAAAATCAAACTGTTGAAATTTTAGGCATTCAAAATTTGGAAACAGCGAAGAAAGTTTCTATAAAAGGATCACATTTTGCAGTGCATGGACGTCGCACATGCATATGTTACTGAATGTGGGATGTACCTTATATGCATACCGGGAGATCAGGCAGCAGTGAAATCAGGTTTTAACTTTTTATAAATTCATGCTTCAGGCGGATGTGGACCGTGGTGTTTTAGTAAATGCTGTGTAGTACTACATTTGCAATTATATTAGATAAAATAAAAACGAATCGGTTAAAGTGTATTACCGCAATCAAAACACTCTAGATCTCCGTATTGACTGGGATGATTGGGCATGTTGCACATGGGTATGAGATATCTTACGGTCAACACCAGCTTCAAAATAGTATTTGACTGCTCCATTTTTCTTTTTTGCTTAAAGTTGGACGCTAACGTTTTCCTTGTCTTATGCGCACTTCTGACTGATCGTTGCATTCGTTCCAGCTTCCAAACTTCAAAGTTAAAATTCTTCACAAATCTTCACAAAAGAAATTGAAAATTGAACCTGCATATTTACGGTCAATTCTTAGATGCATGGTTTCGTCGTGATTCAGCGATTAAAGCTAAAATTACAACGAGCCGGCCAATGGCCATCGCAAAACTTATAATATTACCGGTACGTATAGTGCGTATGGTATGTACTGGAGTCTTGAAGTGTACACTGTAGAGATATTAATAGTCTACTCCGTATATAGGTAATAAATTATAGCATCGTATATATAATAATAATCGCAAGTATCAAATGTATAAGAGAAGGGGTATCCGCAGTTATCATGATCATTCCATTTTAACTCTTAAATTCTTAGCTTAATTACCATACTTGATATAAGGGAAGTATTTAATAAATAGTAATTTATATATATACA